CCAGATGCTCGGTCGGCGTGTAGTTTCTGCGGTCACTGCCGTGCGCTAAGCCTGGCCAGCCTGGCTCAAGGACGGGAAAAACTATGATGTGCTGCTAGCTACTTGTTGCTCATCAGGGGCCCTGGCTGAGCATCCGTGTTCGTCATTCCGGGGAGGTGGGATTTGACGTCTTTCACGCGTTTCTGACTTTGTCATGATGCGGAATGGCGTATGGAACATGATGAACAAAGTGCTGTAATTTCATTCGTGCTGAGCAGGTAATTGCTGCCTCCTTAAAACGGTCCTCCTGTATATCTTATTTAGATATTCTTCGCGCGCAACATGAAAAATAACCAACATAACCAAGCGTCAATAAATCATAACCATGATAGCCAGGCCAGGCAAGATGCCATCCATCTTCCCAGCGACTGTCCGAGACATCTGTTTGATGCTTGGCCTCTCCCCAAGTCGGCCATCCCTACCCGCCTCGTGCCTACTGCAAGACTCGACCTGCACGTTAAAGAAGGCCCACGCCAACCCCAGTCTAACGCCGCCTTCATGCAAAATGATACAGACTCTCCGCCAGCACCACGACAAGACGTGGAATCCGTGGAATCGGCGGTCTTCAACGGATTGCGTACAGTGCGTCGCATGGCTAGTCTTCGTCCTTCACGTCGGAAGAGCGCGATGACGCGGTGGAGGCCTTGCTGGCCTTGTGCTTGCTGTCGAACTCCTTGAACATGGCGGTGATCTCTTCGTTGCCGTCGTTCTTCTCCATCACAAGATTCTTGAGCCATCGGTTCTCCGTCTCGAGGGAGGTTGATGCGACTCTCCAGGGCGGATACCTTATCGGACATGTCTTTAGCGCTCTTCTCGAGGGCTTGCTCGCGCTGCTTCTTCTTGATGCGGAAGCGGGGCGCTTGGCGGCCGTGTTACGCCTTGCGCTTGTCCTCCTCGGCGGCAACGCGGGAATGCTCCTCAAAGCCCTGGGATGGGTCTGTTCACGGGGTTCAACACAACGCTTCCTCTTCCTGCTATCACGGCGCCCGGCGTAGGCGGGGAAACATACGCGGTCTGCTGCTGGTGCATTTGGCGGCGGGCTGTAGTTGCTGCTG